CGGAGTTATGCCGTAACACACATAAAAAAAAAATAAAAAAAAAATATACCGACGAATTGAATACCTCCTTCTTTTGGGAAGTCGGTCAATAAAGAGGAAAGATTTGTATTTGTGTACGTATTGAAATAACTCAAAAACTACTGGACAGATTTCTTTCATCATTAAAAACTACGTTATTAGTGAGGTGAATTTTGATAAATTACAAAACCACGATGGCGAAGTCGCTAGCAACAGCTAGTTAGTAATATTTTGCAGTAATACATAGATTTTATGTATAAGGGATCCCCTAATACTCCACATTATCATCAAAAGGTGTGGGGATCGAAAAGTTGCGAAAAAAACCCTTTAATCATTTTGTGAATTGTCTCGTTTTATCGATACCAAATGTCCCTGTTAATATTGTATATTTTCTTGTAGTTTTTGTAACTAATTTAAGCATTTTTTGTTAATTTCCAGGTTGTACATTACAGAGCATTAGCTAAAGATGGTATCAACACGTATTCTAGAAAGGACCTTGGAGTTGCGACATGCGCAATTGTCGCCTGTAAAAACGATTCGATAAAAAGCTGCCCATATAGGTATTAATTTTATATTCCTTCAATATTCTAAGAGCATGCTTTGACAAAACTATCGAACAACTGTTTAGTCTTGCTTTGATTCCTATGACCTTACATGGAGGTACAGTAATAGCTGCGAAATAATCGACAATCGCACAACAGTATTAGTTTAGTCAAAAGTGTGCGTTTGATCTCATATCTAAAAGTTTTCTAGTAAATTCTTTTCCTTATATCTTCCAAACACATCGGACGTTTTACGGTCAAATAATTAGGGAAGTGGCGTTATCTATACTATTGTAATAAAGCGTAAACACACACTTCTTTGTTGCCTAAGGTGTCAGCAATTACAACATATTTTTGAAAAACTCTTTTTGAAATAAATAGCCCTACACTTACATCACGCTTTAGACTATATATTTTCACGCCGATAAACTTAGGGGTAAATATTTTGGATAAAGACCCTAATGTGGGAAAGAGACCATAAGTTGCCATCATCAAGGAAGCAAGGTTCCCATGGTTTGACATCATGTCATGTCATTTTGACATTTGCAATTGATGACAAATGTGAACAATAAAATGATGTTTTAATAATTTTATGCGGATAAAGTCGCATGGGAACAACTAGTTATAAATAATAACGCCACGTCTTAAAAGGCCTAAATTATTTGCTGTCATTTTGTAATATCTTTGCAAAAATTAAATTATAAGATCGAATGTTTACAAAGTAGAGCAAAACAGAAATTGAATAGTTTGTATGGAAGAGTAGATACAGCCGTTGTTGTAAAAAGGTTCTTATTTTTTTAACAATATGATTCATTTTCTTTTTCAGATTCGAGAAAACAGAAGACGTCGTATTAGAAGATCTAGTGATAGAGATGACGTCACACGTCCATCATTATAATACGTCACTACAATGTGATGACGTCATTTACTTTCCGATCTCTTTCACTAACAATAAATTCCCCGTCAGACCAAAGAATGTTACATTTCTAGAAAGTTCCAAGATAACTTCGAACGAAGTTCTAGCTTGTGAAAATAATTTAAATATAGATTTAAATGGACATAAAGAACATATTATACATAAAATAAATAAACCGCAGAGTAATTTGGTTGCATTTGGTGTTTGGGGTCGCATCTACAATAGAGATTTTGATCATAACAAGAGACCAACGGAAGACGATTTGAAAAATTATTTAGAGATTGAAGATTGGATTTATAAAAAGCAAAAGAAAGAAAATGTGATCTAATCCGACTGAAATAGACTGAAGCAACATAACGAACTTTTGTATCATCTATACTACAGAGAGAGAGAGAGAGAGAGAGAGAGAGAGAGAGGGAGAGAGAGAGAGAGAGAGAGAGGTACTATCTATATTATAAAGAGGAAAGATTTGTATTTTTGTATTTACAACTCAAAAATTACTAGGCCGATTTCAACAATTCTTTCCCCATTGAAAAGTTACGTTATCGCTGAGTAATGCAAACTTTTTTAATTTCAAGCGATCGAAGTCGCGAGCAACAGCTATCTACATGTATGAAATATAGCCTATGTTATTCAGCAATAACGTAGCTTTCTAATGAAATCGACTCAATAGTTTTTGAGTTTTTTCAATACATGCAAAAACAAATATTTTTCTCTTTATTTTTAAATTTCACAGGACGAGGTCGCGAGCAAAAGCTAGTCTAAGATATTTTTAATTTGAAATTGCTTCCGATTAGTACAATTTAAAAGTTATCCGAAATATAAATAATTCAAATACTATATTATTTTTAAACATTAAATTAAGTATTTTAATAAATATGTTGTTTCTGTACACACCGTTTCTATTTATAAACGTAACCTTGCAATTGTGAGTCTGTAAGCATTAATTAATTATTGGTCGCATCAAGATTCTATTTACAGTGATAACTGCGCCATCACATTCTGTATTCATGTCACCACGACCATCCTTTATTTTATGCTATTTAGAGCTCGCGCACACCTTTGACTAAACTATCGTACAACTGTTTAGTCGCTTTAAATTCTATGACCTTATATAGAGGTGTGCACACTCCTGGGTTTTTAGTTGTGCAACTAATAAATTGGCTGCGAAACAATCGACAATCGCACAACAGATGTGCGATAGTTTAGTCAAAGGTGTGCTATTTTGAAATGCCAATGATAACTTTATTTAACAAATAAGTTCTAAGTTAGTTTATACATGATTTACTTCTTTTTATCATAAGGTGACAAACGAGCACGCTGCCCATAGACATTTGCAATAACGGATGCGTTGCCTACCTTTAATCGACGACGGAGAAAACACACATAAAGAGGACATTTCCTCTTCCTATGCGTCTATTGCACCGACAAATCCGCGTTCGCTTTCCATCCTTTGCTTATAACAAAAAGGTGGGAAGGATAAGGGACTACAGTTTTCTTTTTACAATTAGGTTCTTCTATTTTAACAAAAATAAATTAGGACTCAGGTAGTTAATTTGTGAATATTTCTCAGTAAACAAATGTGAATTTTTAGCACTATAGGTACAGAGCGGCCGCGTTCACTGGAGTCCGCAGTTTCTCTGGCATGGCGACTGGCGGGAACAGGATCTGTTCAGTGCTGGCTTGTATTGGTGATACTATCGAGACGTGCGGCAGGAGGTAAGGCAGAAATATCATGTTTTAGTAACTACTTTAAGTGCCAATAAGTCCATGAATATGAGAGGATAACCAAACGCATAACTTAACTTGCAAGTCTTGGCCTTGGTAGTTAATATTATTGTCAACGGCAAAACTTTTTTTACAACGTTAGATATAGTTATTTTTATTTTTACTATCCTTAACATTACTATGACAAATTTCATCAAAATCTTTTAAGCCGTTTAGCGGTAAATTCCAATAAACATCCATCCATGCACATAAAATCTAAAGTTTCGTATTTAAAATATTAGTAACAAGTAAGTTAGGCGGCCATGTTTAAAAGCATGCTCTTCTTTATTCATTTTATACGTTATTCTGGAACTAAATGTCAGAGAACAATAAATTCTGCACATTTTTACAGATTCCCAAATTACCAAGAGAACGCTACAGCGATATTCGAAGAGTTGAGCATAATAGCGTCAATGCCAACACCACAAAAGGTGAAAGAATTGGACGCGGACGATTCAGTTTTCTACCCCGTGTCACTAGATGTCGCTATAAATCCATTAAGACCGGAACAGTATACGTACGAAAAGACACTCTCAGACGATGGACATAAGACTCATTATAGCTTCAAACTGAATAATGTTACAAGGAATTTGTATAGCTTTGCTGTTTGGGGCAGGGTTTTTGCTGACGACGGCAAAGACGCGACTCCTCCTTTAACTGGTGGATCATTGTCGATAAGAGTATCAGCTGTTTGTTTACTAGTAATGTCAATTTTCTATGCGATAGCATAATATTAAGAGATGTGTGTTAAATTAGCATTTTTTACTTTAATTTATTTGTGTTCGCATTTCGAAGTGTTAAATAAACTAAATTAAAACAAATATGTAAATAGTATTTATTTTAACACGTTTCCTGCGGCAAGTACAATCATAATTCTTCATCTGGTGCGGTAGCGGGCCAAAATACGCCCCCAAATCATATTTCCGCCATTGCGTGACAGGTCTTTTCAGACCCAACAGTACTAGGATAAATTTAATTACTATAACTTCGTTGAAACGTAATGTCTACATTTTATGTATTGCAATATATATCCGAGATAATGTTTTGCACTAACGAGAGGGACATAGTTTTCTTCGTCCGCTCCAGATCAAGAACCGCGTCAGGTCGATATCGACCTGTTAAGCAGTAAGAGTGTTAATACCTTTCCTTTTCATTAAATATATTTATTCCTAATGTTTAAAATGAAAAAAGAAACTTCTAAACCAATCTATAGATAAGTAACTTATAATAAAATACAATTTGGAAGAAGATATTCCTTCCAAAATATGCAGAATTATGATTAAAATAGGCTTACATAGATAATTATTATCTAATTTTAATTTATAGATTATAAAAAGTATCAATTACAGTATCATAAACAAGCCAACCCATATCAAAGGAATCAACAGCGTAGTTCTGCATAACCTTTTTATCATAAGATAACCTATCTATTATTCATTATCAGTGGTAGAGCAGGGTTTATGAATGGTTCATGTTACGACCACATTTGAGTCATTGTCGATAAACGATGCATAACAAATCTTGTAAAACACATTTACATGCATCTCACTTAAAATGACAACAATATGCAATTTCGTACAATTCAACAGGGGACAGTAATAATAGGGAAAATATGAACAGATAAGCATTGTGGACATAGTTAATCTTATTATTATACTATTAATATAAATGCGAAAGTTTAGATGAATGTTTGTTAGATTTTATAGCTTAAACGGCTGCATGGATTTCGATGAAATTTGGTATAGATGTAGAGGATAGTCTGGAAGAACACATAGGATAACCACATTTTTTTATTTAATACCACGCGGACGGAGTCACGGGCGAAAGCTAGTAGTTATAAAGCTAAACTCTTCAAGACCGGTTCACTATCTGACCAGTTTTACGTGATTTATCCTTATTACGCACTATTAAACCGAGAATGTCTTGGGGAGGTTGTAATGGACATAACTATGTGTGAATTTAATCGACATGGTTCTGTAACGTAGTATGTTTTTTGTTTACGGAATAAAATACAGTTTTCTATATATAACTAGTTTTCAATATTTTATAAAGGTTCAATAAACTTCTTGCGAAGTACGACTACTGTATACAAACAATATTCCGTCTCTATTTTTTCAAAGTAAATATCAGAGATGACGATATTTTTATGTAAATGTGTTGACCAGTGATTCTCAACCACTGTGCCGCGACACTTTTGTGTATCGCCAAATTTGAAAAGTGTGCCGCAGAATTTTGCATATTTTAGTCATAAATTATTTATACAGTGTGTCGTAGTACGTAAAATTTTTATCTTTTTCTTTGTGTGGCGTCAAATTTTGAAATCGAAAATATGTGCCGCAACAAAAAAAGGTTGAGAATCACTAATAGACAATAAAAACCCACACGAATGATGAACCCTAACATCTATTTTGATAACAGATCGTTGTAAGTTATACATTATCTTGAATTCTTAAGCCGCTTCTGTTTAAACTAGTCGACACGTTCTCCTCGTGTGACGAGTCGTGTTCGACCGTACTTGTGAGTCGTTGCCTATTCGTAATTAAAAAAAAAAACAAAACAAAATGGCCGCCCCTAGACGCGTACTTGTCATCTACACTGGCGGGACTTTTGGAATGTTGAAAAATGAAAAAGGCGGTAAGTACATCTAAATTTTTTAATATTAAAAAAATGTTTTAGTGGCGATATAAGGCGATATAAGGCCTAGCCGGCGAGAAAAGGTGAGGATACGAGTGTAATTTTCCCTATGTTTTCCTCAATATCATTTCTGCATATTCAATACGAATAATATATATCTTGTTAATAGCTATTGCTTACGATTTCGTCTACGTGAAATTAAAAAAATATAGCCTATGACTCAGCAATAACGTAACTTTTTAAGAGTGAAGCGAAATCGGCCTAGTATTTTTTGAGTTATTTCAATACATACAAAAATACAAATCTTTCCTCTTTAGTTAATATAGATTAATATATGTTATGTTACGAAATAAAAAGATTATTATATTAATTTGTAGTGCTGGTACCACAGAAGAATATAGAAAAAGTAATAAGAGGTTTACCACAGCTTCACGACAATGAATATTGGGAGAAAAATTTAGCCAACACTGAAATGAAAGAATATTTAGCAATACCAGGTAAATCTTTTCATATATTATACGACGATTCCTTATCTTGTAAGCAAATATCACATAAGATAGGACACACATAGCTTTATATGTAACTATCTTTATAAGAGCGTGTGCGCAACTTTGTCGATTGTTTCGCAGCCTATTCAACTGTTTTGCAGAACTAACTGTCGAGTAGTTTACCTCCATATAAGCTCATAGAAATCAAAGCGAGACTTTAGTTGTGCGATGGTTTAGTCAAAGGCGCTCTAAATCAATTTAATTTTAATTAATTATTTTTTTTAGAATATAAGGTAGCAAACGAGCAAGCAGCCACCTGAATCCAGCGAAATGGAAAGCGACCGCTGACCATTAACATCGGCAATTGCAGATGCGTTGCCTCTCCTTAACTGACGGAGGAGACGCACATAAAGAGGACATTTCCCCTTCCTATGCGTCTCCTCTACCGTCAAATCCACTTTTCCTTTCCATACTTTCCTCTGATTAATTTAATTGCCGTATAATTTAATAAAATAATTATTTTCATTATAACAGATGGCAAGGACACGGAACAGAAGATATTTTATAGAATTCATGAATACGATGAATTGAAAGATTCATCAGATTTCACTATCGACGACTGGCTTAAAATGGTCAGAGATATCAAGGCAAGTATCTACAATTTAAATTCAAAATTAAAAAATAATCGAGCATAACATTCTCGCATGACATCTTCCATTTAGCGGACGGTTTTAACAGCGCGGAGTAAGAAAAAGTAGCCCTTAGTATTTTTATTTCAGAGGTTCTATCACGAGTACGATGGGTTCGTGTTACTTCATGGTACTGACACGACGGCGTACGGCGCCTCCGTGCTGTCTTTTATGCTGGAGGTAGTCGGCAAGACTGTGGTGTTAACTGGAGCTCAGGTGAGATATTCTGAATTTTCCATTAACACTTTTAAAGATAATTTTTCTACTCTTTCAGTTCCTACGGTACCAGGTGTAGCACACCTGGTGATATAACTATAATTATTGTGCATTTCGCACTGGAAGAGATACGTACCAGGTGTTTAAGACCTGGTTTTGAAAATATCGTGTATTTGGACTGTAAACTGTGTACTTGTAACTTTGATATTTTGACTATTTCAGATGGCTGTGATTTGTTAAAAATATTTTGATTATTAAAAAATCTATAATTTCGAAAGTTGTTAAGACACGCAATAAATCTTAAGGAATTACACATGAGAGTAAAAGAGAGTTAACTGGCATAGAATTATCATCATAGTTACTTGCATGTTTATAACCACCCTACGCAATAAGAGCTCGCTCATCTTTGACTAAACTGTCATACAACTGTAGTCTCGCTTTGATTCCTATGAACTTATATAGAGGTGTCACAACTCGATTTTTAGTTATGCAACTAAACAGTTGAATTGGCTGCGAAACAATCGACAATCGCACAACTGTGCGATAGTTCAGTTAGAAGTGTGTATTGTCTCCAGGTGCCGATATTCCAGCCTCGAAGTGACGGCAACAATAACTTCCTCTGCGCAGTGCTGATTGCCGCCACACTACATATACCTGAAGTCACTGTGTTCTTCGGAGCTAAACTCTTCAGAGGATGCAGGTATAGTTATAAACAGTGCTGGTTTAAGACCAGGGCGAAGTGGGTGACCGCCCAGGGTAACAGAACGGGGCGCCACAGGTTTTTAGAATTACTCTAACAAAACACTCTTCTTTCCCCTTCTTGGCGTATTAAAATAAAGGGCGTCATAGTAATTTTGCCCAGGGCGCTGGTACGCGAACTACTGGTCGTAAAAAAAATTTGTTTATTTTTTGAATTCAAGTATATCTTAGTTCCTTTTATCAAATTTTACGTGTGGGTAAATTTATAAAAGTTTATTTACAAAGGACGGTGAGACGTGTTCATCCAAATTACTGTTTGTTCATATTGTTCGTTCTTGTGGAAGTTTTGTGTAAACGAGTAGGTAACATTTATAAATATTAAACCATTTTGGCTACGTGTTTGAATGAGAGTTTCCAACTGAAAATACTAATTTATCAGATTTTAAGGAATCTTACTTTGTACTAATATTATAAATGCGAAAGTTTAGATGGATGTTTGTTAAAGTTTGTAGCCTAAACTGCTAAACTGATTTCGATTAAATTTGGCACAGAATTAGAGGATAGTCTGTAAGAACATATAAGCTACTCACTTTCGTTTTTTTTTTTTATTTCGGCAAAAGCTAGTTACTGTTATAAACGCAATATTGTTTCAGAGTAAAAAAAGTTTCCAATACTCGTATATACGCGTTCGATTCTCCAAACTTTCCGCCGTTACTGGAAGCGAAGACCACTTTAGATATTGACCCTCGCACGCTGATCCATCCGCCAGGGTCTGTGCCTGATGACTGCAGGATACACGACAAGCTCTCCACTAAAGTATACGTCCTCAAAGTAGCACCAACGATTACACCTGAACTGATCAGAGCTGTTTTTAATGGAATGGAAGGTAGGGTGTTAGTCATATTGTAATTTAGCAGTTGTCGTGTTTTCAGATAAATCTTTAAGTTCTCACATCCTTGTTTATTCTGTCTGTTTCATGAAGTCCTTCTCTTTCTTTTCTCCTATTTATAACATACCTATCTAAATATAAAACTACCTTCATAAGATTGTAGTCTTAAAACTATTAAAAACAGACATGTTTCTCTGATCAAAGATTTCAAAATAACACTATAGACAATTAGTGATATTGTCAGCCATTGTTTTTTTTCTTTTTTTTAAATCTTGTTATAATAGAGATGTGATAATAATTTCTCAATCACATTGAATTTAAAACATTTATGTAAAGTTTTTTTTGTATGTAAAGTTACTTATATTTAGCGAAATAGTTTAGGAATCACTTACTGCAGTGAATTAAGAAGAATATTGCATATTCCAGGGGTAGTATTAGAGACATACGGCAATGGAAACATACCCATCAAACGCAAGGAGATCTACAAGGAAATCGAGCGCGCGGTGAAGAACAACGTGCTGGTCGTGAACGTGACGCAGTGCATCAACGGCACTGTGCTGGGGAAAGCGATATATGAAACTGGATTGGTGAGTAGCAGCGCGGGCAACTGTCCTGGACACTGGAATTGTTAAATAACTATAGTCAATCTTATAAATACGATTTATATGGATGTTTGTTGGAGTTTGTAACCTAATCTGTTGATATCTAGATTAAATTAGGTATAATAGATGTAAAAAACATAGACCTTTGGTCCCGATATTAGTTGCGGTTCCCGTGGGGGATTATTCCCAACCGTCACCACAATCTGTCCCAACGTAAGAATAAAAATTTTTATCCGTCCCACCTTTTCGTCCTACTATCACCAATAAGGTGACAGATGGAACTGTCGTGAAATAAAATAAAATCCAACCGTCCCCTCGTCGCTAAAAGTGGGACGGATGAAACTTTTTATTCTCATCTGTTTCCACGTGGGGACAGAGCGGGGTGACGGTTGGGAGTAATCCCCGCGGGAACATAATTTATTAAAAGATGCAGATATGAAACAAAGTCTGGAATAAATGGGATACAATTCATCCACAAATTATCAGATTCCCGAGGGATATGTAGTTTTTCACAGTTCGTATGGCTTTTTTATCCGACTTCCAAAAGGAGGTTCTCAATTAGTCTGTGTTTTTTTTTTTTATATTCTTGTTACTGCATATCTTATAACCTTGTTCGATTATCAATATGTTTTTTTATACGACGTATGGTGCGTGACAGTTAGCCCCATTTTTCAAATTAACAATAATCGTACATTATAAAACAGTTGCAAGGGATTTTTTGTCTTTCTAAATTGTTCAGAAAATTATTTTTAGTCTTAGTGAAATTGTATTTTGAGAATGTTTTGTTTGGAAATCGGTTACTTTTAAAATCCTGCTTGGACGAAATCGTGGGCAGCAGCTAGTGAAGTGAAACTTCGTTTGTTGGTCAGCTGCTGGTGGAGTGCGGCGTGGTGCCCGCCTTCGACATGACGGCGGAGGCGGCGCTCGCCAAACTCTCCTACGTACTCACTAAGACAGACTTAAATTATGCACAAAAAGTACAGGTAAATATTTTCAGTTCAAGTTTTCTTGTGCCGGAGGCTGTCAAAATAACTTTCCGTTTCCACTCTTATACGGAGTGTAAGAGAAAGTGGGTTTGACAGTGGAGGAGATACATAGGAAGGGGAAATATCCTTGTAGGCATCTGCAATTGATGTCTGGGTAGCGATCACTACCATTTTGGCGGATTCAGGCTGCTTGCACGTTCGCCATATTGTAAACGAAAAAAATATTTACCATCTCCCCTGCCTTATCCAACTCCCGTAGGGTCGGCGTAACGGGTTTTCGTCCTCCAAAGCACTCTATCATCCGTCATCTCAGTCATCACTCCCTTCTTGATCATGGCACCTATCACGCAATCCATCCATCTCTTTCTATGTCTACCTCTACCGGTGTACCTCCACATTCATAACTAACATCCTTCTTGTTACATGCGATTCATCCCTTCTCATAACATGACCTCATTTTTTGTTGTTAAAAACTTCATATTGCCTTCTGTTTATTGTCGTTTACTTTTTCTATTCAAATATTATTGTTCCAGTTAATGAAGACGAATATACGCGGAGAGTTGTACAATCCTTCACATGCCAGTTAACAGGAATTAAATTTAGTATAAAACATCTATGTTTATGTGTATATTATCTCGTCATATATAATCAATGTATATTTGTGTAAATATATCGTAACAAGACGAGGTATTTGAATTGAATAATTCTTTTTGTAATAAAAAGCCCTACACTTACGTCACGCTTTAGGCTATATATTTTAACGCCATTAAAGTTAAGGGGGTAAATATTTTGGATAAAAACCCTAATGTGGAAAAGAGATCATAAATTGCTGCCAACATCAAGGAAGCAAGGTTTTCATCATGTCATACCATTTTGACAATTGTAATTGATAATTTGACACATGTAAACAATAAAATAAGATTTTCATAAATTCATGCGGATGAAGTCGCACAGGAACAGCTAGTATCTTAAAAAAGAAACATTTTGTAAATCTTATATTATCACATAAAAACAATGTAATTAAACTGCCTACCCTTTTACAGTAAAGGCGTAGTTAATTATGATTAAAACGTATTTTATGTTTTCTTGTACGTGATGTTTAAGATGTAAGAAGAAAAATCAATAGCAATGTTTCAAAGGGTGAATGTTGCGGCTTGATAAATTAAGGCGCTTCCACAAGATGTTTTCACTTGATTAAAAGGGAAAGAGGATAAATGGAGAAACTATGGTTTACAGAATTTAATTCAAGCAATAATATAATAATAAAGTGTTAAAATTTTAACTTCTAATTAAATATAGAAACAATTTTAAAAAGATGATAGTTGTAATTATAATAATGAAAACCTTTTCTTTAATGATTAACAAAAGTTTATGAACTGGTTAAATAGTAAGCGTGCGCACATATTTAACTAAACTATCACACTGCTGTTATGCGATTGTTTAGTCAAAGGCCTGCTCCACTCTAAAATAGATATAAAAACTACATTGAATAAAACCATATTATTGGTAGCCATCCCCTAGGTCTAGTCTAGATCATGAATGGCGACGTCTAGTTCTTAGACGTCTATGGTAGTTTTAATATATTTATGACTGCCTAGTACCTAGACCAGGGGTGGCGAAACCACTGGCACACCATAATATTTTGGGGTACATCGATAATCATAAAAACATTATGAAAAAATTATGAAGTAGGTGCACCATGGAAATGACGTAATAATTGCAGTCAAAATGATTCGATGGCACCTCGAAGACCTCAGTAAACATATGTTTTAAAAAATGGTATTTTGACGAATAAATGTTCGACGAAGAAATGTTCACCATCCTTGCCCTACACTAAAGGACTTAAGTTACACGTGCCAGTAGCATATTGTCCTTGTAGTTGAATTATATCCAATTAAAGCTATCTTGTAAAGTATCTCGTCTCCCGCCCACTACGCCGTGACGTGGCATAATGGATATTGCGACGTAACCTATTTACGTAGTTTAATTTTTTCTCCTATATTAAAAAGGTCAGAAAACTTGTAGAACAGTTGTAAGTAGTAAATAACAAATGTATGTGAACATTTTATTTCCATAAATATTTTTTTGTACATAATATAATAATTTTTTAAAACATTTTTATATCTTGTGATATTTAAATTGTTTAAAATTCAATATGGAAATGTAAAAAAATGACGTAAAATTAACTAATCTAAAACCAATTTTAGTCATTAAATCGGAAAGATCTAATATCTTCATATATAATAGTCACTTCCAGAACTCAAATACAAATTTAAAATTGTAACGAGTTTTGAATCGAACTTAGGACTCAGAATACACTAACAAAAAGACCACAGGATTTTTGCTAACAAAACGTAGTGCCATTTTAATCAGTGACATAAAGTTTACTATGACTTCATAAAAACAAGACATCTTTGTTAATGACGTCATCTTACACGTAAACATTGCTGGTAACTTGCGAATTGACGGCGACGGTCACAATTCTGCCGACAGATGGTGTCACTTTGTCGAACCGACTCCCAAAGTGGCCTCCGACTGTGTACACCCGTTTTGCTGTATGCGTTCCTGGTACATCAGAAATTTTATGTTAATTTATTAATTAAAGACTAAGATTAATTAGTACTCAGAGCCGTTTAATGAATACTTAATCCCTTAGTTTAGATTTCTGTATAAAATTTAAAGTCAACCAACTTTTCAGCTATTGTTTGTACTATACATACAAAATAACATAAGTAGTAAAACGTTACAAGACAGTTAGCAACAAAAATCTTACTAAACTATTTTAGTTCGAACCTTTCGCATTTATATGCGAAAGGTTCGATGGCTGGATGTTTGTTAAGGTTTGTAGCTTAAACGGCTTAACGAATATCGATGAAATTTGACGTAGATGTAGAGGATAGACTGGAAGAACACATAGGCTACTCACTTTTGTTTTTTTAATTCCACGCGGACGAAGTCGCGGGCGAAAGCTAGTATTGCATAATTACTCCTCATGTTATTGTAACCGCATAGTTGTATGTGCAAATGTAATGGCTGATTTAAAAATAGATTGCTCTATTGTATTCAACGCATGTATAAAGGTACTTACATCTTCACGTTCCAACACGTGAGGCCCACGGTCAGGAAGACTGGTAACAGAGATATTTGCAACATCACCATATTAATAGTTTCTTCAATTGCTTATTCTCCATATTGCTTCCATGTTTATTATAGTTTCGACGGTGAACATCCCTACAGGAAGATAATATCCTCGCGTTGTTGAAAACTCGAATATCAACACATAGAGAACATAAAGATTTATTTTTGCACTAAAAACACATGTTTATAACGAATTTGAAACAATCGAATTCTGTTATAAATTCGATTCTTATTCGATACTCGTAATTAAAATTCACAACATAGTACCGCCAAACTAGACGGTCGCGAAACAACTGAGCTAGGGATGACCCTGATAATCGTTGTGCAGATTTTAAGTATCGATGTTTGGTTGTTTTTATTGCGTATAGTTATGGATACAAAACAAGAACAAAGACTCTTATTAACAACTATATAGACCCGACGGCTTAGTGTTGAGATGTCGAAATGTAGATCTACGTTCGAATTCAACATTTTTATGTTAGTTTAGTTTTAGTTTAGTTAGCAGTATTTTTTTAAGAACAACATAAAAATATATGTTGTTCGTAATTCAATTATTGATGTTATCAATTACTTTTTGTTGACGAAGACTAAAAAAAATAAACAACACTGTTTATTTATACAATTACTTTTAAATGTTTCGAAAAAATTTAAATGAAATTATGTAATGTTTTCTACTTTTGTAAAAAGTTTTCACGAGTTTGTTTCGAAAGCTTTTGTTTTCCAGATGGATTATTGTGACACAGTTTTTAAAAGGCCTCTTGTTACAAAAAATTTTGTTATGTTTTGGTTTTGCTGTTCTTAATTATGATGGTACCAACTTGTGGTTTATTTGTATTTTTGTTTTGCGAAGTTTGTTAATTTTAATCCATTAGCGTTGTATGGACATGTTATGCGACGAGACGATGGGGACATAAACCAGAAAATGTTGAGAATGAATGTGGATGGCTACAAAGGTAGAGCTAAAGAAAGTATGGATGGATTGTGTAGAAGAGGATATGCTTAAGAGAGTGGATTCAGATATGACGGCTGATAGAGATGTATGGAAGAGTACATACTGTGCCGACCTCCGTAAGGGGTAAGGGCAAGTTGATGATGATGGTACTAATGTGTAGCTTATTTGTATTTTTGTTTTGCAAAAATGAAAAGGAAACTTACAAGTAGTTATGTTGATTTTAATTCATTTATGTGAAACGGGGTTAGGATGGTCTTAGGAATTAGGATGATTTATTTGAACTGTTTCATTTATTATGCTGTAGGACAAGTAGCGCCGTCGTCTACATCTGTACTATTATAATAAAGCGTAAACACACACTTCTTTGTTGCCTAATATGTCAGCAATTACAGCATATTTTTTAAATTATTATTATTTGAATAAAAAGCTCTACATTTACGTCAAGCTTTAGGCTATATATTTTCACGCCATTAAACTTGGGGGGTCACTGTGTTTGTGGATAAAAACCCTAATATGGAAAAGAGGCCATAAGCTGCCAACATCAAGGAAGCAAGACTGCCAAGGTTTGTCATGTCATGTCGTTTTGACATTGATAATTTGACAAATGTATACGATAAAATACAATTTGCACAATTTCATGCAGACGAAGTCGCTGGCAACAGCTAGTTAAAGATAAACTATGTATTTAAATATTTGTTTTACACACCGTCATCTTGTTGGCATTTTCGCGAACTCTACCATTTATTTCACACGAGCTGTTCCCGTGCGATTTCATCCACATTAAATTATAAAAAAAACTGTACTTTATTGTTTACATTTGTCAAATTCTCCTTTTATTTTATATTAAAAAATATTGCCAACATTACTCTAAGATAAATTACCTTTCTGATGGTGAAAGAATTTTCGAAATCGGCCCAGTAGTTTTAGAGTTATCCCAATACATACAATTACAAATCTTTTCTCTTTATAATATTAGTATAGATGAAATTAAAAATCATAGCCTATGTTATAGATAAATTACCTTTCCAATGGTGAAAGAATTTTTGAAATCGGCCCAGTAGTTTTTGAGTTATCCCAATACATATAAAAATACAAATGTTTTCTCTTTGTAATATTAGTATAGATATAGATATATCATATTTCTTACGTAATATGCTTTATAATTTTACTTAGTTACTGTACTAATAGGTGTTTTTTAATATATAATTAACGAATAAATATAGTAGCAATAACAAAAGTTTTACCCATAAATAAAAAGGTTAGTTCGCAGTAAATTACATCGACAAAGCTAAGTCCCGCGGCTCGAACTTGTTCCTTGCAATTTACTGTTCGGATTTACACAAAGCCTTGTTAAACAAAATGACATTATTATTAGAAATTTCCCCTACCTATGCGTCTCTTCCACAGTCAAATGCACTTTTCTTTCCTATCCTTTCTTCTTAAGAAAAGGGTGGAAAGGGAAAAGGACTAAAATTAGGTCTAGGACCGATACTGGACCGATTCCAAAAATTCTTGAACCATTGAAAACTATGTTATTATTGAGTAATATAGGCTACATTTTTATAATTTTTCTAATGTCACGCGGGCGAAGTCGCGATCAACTGTTAGTCAAAAATATGAGAAAAGAGATAACTAGTTTGGTTTTTGGAACATACTATTTAAAAGAAAACATCTGCACTAAAAGGTATGCCACCAAGATACAGAGATAAAATTCTTTTCACGGCTTTACCTTGACACATTTCTTTAGTATTTTTAATAAAAAGTCTTAAAATAAGTCTTTCGTCTTCAAGTTGAAAGAAAACAGACTGTAAAATTTATAAAGAAAATGCTGCTGGTCGGGAACAATCTGCCGAAGAGCTTTACGAAGTTCTCGATGAAAATGTTTTTGCGACACAAAATACTTTGTAATACAATTACGTATTAAAGCATGCGCACACCTAATACTAAACTATAGCACAACTGTTTAGCCTCGTTTTGATTGCTATGAGCATAAATGGAGGTATACTACTCGATTTTACTTGTGCAACTAAACAGTTAAATGGGCTGCGAAACAATCGACAATCGCAGAACTATGCGATAGTTTAGTCAAAGGCGCCTGCACTTAAAGTAAAAAAAACATTCTGAAAATATAATGTTGCCAGTCATTTACTACCTAATAACATAGAGTAATATAGAAAAAAGTTAGCTCACTTTCTTGTTGATTACTGTTCATACTCAAATCGTTATTTATTAAGGTTTGGGTTAAAGTTCAGTAAAAATTGGTAGCTACTAAAATTATTGGTATAGTCTACAAACTACGCAATAAAGGCTGTTAAAATACTGGAATGTTAAATAGGGGTAGTGTATTCGACGGTGCAGGAGATGCATAGGAAGGGGAAATGTCCTCTTTATGTACGTCTTCTCCTCCGTCGGATAAGGATAGGCAACGCATCCGCTATCGCGGGTGTCGGGTGTCTGCAGCGGTCGCTTCGCCATATTACCGGATTCAGGTGGCCGGTTGTTCGTTTATCACCTATGTTATAAAAAAAACTATTTCATACTTAAAATAATGTGCGTATATTTACTGTGACGAATAACTTTCTAATTACCAATTAAAATAAAGACATAACTTAAATTAAAGACTGCTTTTACTATAACTTTACAAAGTTGTAGAAACGTTAAGTTAGTAAAGAACGCATCACATTTAACTGGTTTCTTTAAATGTCTTCAATAAAGTTGAACAAAGGTTTTTTGGAAACACTTTTATTTCGAACGAACAGGTATACATATGTGAGTGATTTTCACAATCGCAGCAGTATAAACCTTTATAAGTTATAAAAAATAAAACACACCAATACGATTACAATTTATTACACCAAAATGTAAGTATTACAAAATATAGAAATTGAATAAAACAATAATGCGATTACACGAAGAACTACAATATAAAATATAAAAGAATTGTGCGTAATATAAATTAAACAATAAACTTATAATAATTTAAAAAAATATATAATTAGTGGTAATTATAGACATTTGAAATGCACACTTTATTTGAATAAATTCCACACTTGACAAACCACTCGCAAATAAACTACAATCTTTATAAAATGTCAAACATCTATGAATAAGTATTCTTTTATAAAACCGGAAATAAAATACACCATCAAAATCTACGATATAGAGGCAGTGCCTTTGAGAACACCATTGATACAATTGTACAAAATCTACCGTAAAATCTAATTGCTAAATGACACTAAATTTACCATCAGTTGAAAAAGTTTGAAAATTTAAAACAAAATGCATTATTAAGTTGACCTGTATCCCACTTTTGAGAGTAATAAGCGTCAAGAAAACAAGTATTGCTTCTTCCTTCATGCTTGTTTATAGTATAATATATTTATATACTAGCTGTTGCTGGCGACTTCGCCTGTGTGAAATTAAAAAAGAATACGAAATACAGCCTATGTTACTCAGAAATAAATTACCTTTATGAAGTGAAAGAATTTTCAAAACCGGCAAAGTTTTTTTTTTTATAACATAAGGTGGCAAACGAGCAAGCGGCCACCTGAAATCGCCAAAATGGCGAAGCGACCGCTGCCCATAGACATCTGCAATTGCAGATGCGTTGCCTACCCTTAATTGACGGAGGAAGAGACGCACATTAAGAGGACATTTCCCCTTCCTATGCGTCTCCTCCACTGTCAAATCCACTTTTCCTACCCATCCTTTCCTCTTAAGAAAAGGGTGGAAAGGGAAGAGGACTAAAATTAGGTCTTCGGCACCACACTCATCAGACGAAACGCGGAATTGCTTCCACTTCACGCCTGTTTTCTGTGTGGTCGTGGTATTACACCGGGCGAGCCGACCCATTCGTGCGTAGATGTTAAAGCGGGATCTACCACTTGTAGTTGTTTTTACGTTAATTCAGAATTAGAATATAATGTGTCTAACTCAAGACGAAGTCGGAGGGAAACTAGTCCTTCATAACATTATATCATGGTTGCCTGTCAATAACTATATTTTTTATCGGAATTATATAGGTTTTTAAAACTTTTTCAACTAATGGTAATTAAGTTTTAGTCTAAGATATACAAATATATTACTTTGTTCGTAATTGAGACGGTGGTATAGAAATGGTAGTTGTCCATATGTCATTTTGTTAAAAGAATTATCTCTGGTTATGAAACGTCAAATGCATAGACAATTTTCGAATCTAAAATTGTTACCATTTGATGTTTCTTCATTTAGTCCTAATATCTTTGAAATTGCCTAATTATTCAAACTAAAAAAAACAATCTTTACATTTTCATAATGAAATGTCAAGAATCAGGATTTTCAAATACAATATTTTCGAATTTGAATTTATTTAAAAAATAATTTTGTATACGATGTTAATTTATAAAGTGGTCACACCAAAGTACCAACATAGATCACTTTTAGTGTAATTTACAATTCATGTTTTGGGAAAGTGTTAAGTATTTGACAATATGGCACCAATAAAACAAGATACTAATATGTTCACATACGGCCAAATATTAAAACGAAATTTAAACGCTTTGTAAGACCAGCTTATAGAGATAGACTTCAACATTTTAATATAATTTGCTGGCGCACACCTTTGACTAAACTATTGCAAAACAGTTCTGCGATTGTCAATTGTTTCGCAGCCAATTCAACTGTTTAGTTGCACGACTAAAAATCGAGTAGTGTGCGCACCTACATATAAGGTCATAGGAAACAAAGCGAGACTAAACAGTTCTGCGATAGTTTATTTAAGTAGAATACATATTTAAATGTCGTTTCAATATTAAGCTGATATGACGTGACTTAAATACAAATTAACATGCCACAACTTCTTTCTTCTTACTCGACGAAGCCAAGAGATTATCATCTGCAGGCAAAACGTGTCCATTACTATCATAGATGTATCGGAATATTGTAAACTAACTAATTTATGCATGTTATTTCAATTACAGTAGAAGCTCGATAAGTCAAAGTCCAAGGGAAACACAAAATATTTTAAGTTATAGAGGTTTTAAGTTCTCAAGCGTCTATGGTATAGAGGTTTTAGGCTCATGGGAAAAGAACATATTATTTTTTGAAGTTATAGAGGCTTTTATGTTACCGAGGTTTGAGTTATCGAGGTTCTACTGTACCAAAAAACATCTAAATGGCTTTAAAAACTCTTTTTCGTAAACAAGCTACACTTTATTGTCTTGATGTATCATGGCGACCTTAGATCAAATGCAACACGTAAAATTCTGATCAGTGAATCGTACATTATTTCAAGACGGTAATCTGACAAGTTTTGTCCAAAATATTCAGTTCTGACCTGGCGAGGCGCTGGGGTGCAGCCGCTTGAGCACTTGTGAAATATCAAGTCCTGTGAGAGTCTTCAGCGCGGGCGGTATACCTCCAGCGATGCGCGCCACCTCGCCCGTCGCGCCGTTGTCGCCCACCAACACTATCTCGTCCGTTTTAGCTAACGGTGCTGATACCTCCGCTGCGATCTACAAAGGATTTTGTTGATCAGAAGAGTCCAGTGAATTTTCAAGTACTCAACCGCGTAAGAGGTGGTTGAGTAAAGTTATGGGTAAAGTTGTGAGTCCAAAAGTTTTAGAAGTTAGCAGTAGAAATTCAATTAATACCAGTAAAATTTTGAAAGAGGATTTCGAAGACTTCAACATTGTTGGCAAATAACTTAGATTTCTTCAATGCCTAGGGATTCTAGTAAACCTTTGTATACCTAACTATGACGCCCTAGATATTTCTGTTTGGGTCTCTAGAGCCAAAAAGACTAGCCAGTTTTTTTTATTAAATCTCTTTGAAATAAAAAATATCTTTACTTCTAGCATCCCCTTGATTGGCTTTCACCTCCCTTCACCTTGACTAATGACCTACCTCCTATAGAGAGATGACTAGTATTGAATCATTGGTGACTTAGCAATGTGTTGCGTATAATCGTATCGAATTTAGTTGCAATCTACCATACGTTTAATTTTTTTACACACCTTAGGCAGAGCTTCAAGCACGAGCGCCATGATTGCCGCATCTCCGTACTGCTTGTAGACTTTAGCCTTAGCCAGCATCCGCTCCGCGTCCGCCTTCCCCACGTCGCCTATAGCAGTCGCCTCAGCCAGACCTAGCACCTTGATGCGCTCAGCGTCCGCCTTCGCTGCTTCCACTGTTTGAGTCCTGTACACAAGTTATTATCATCTCTATCAGACTGCTTTAAAACAACAGAGACAGCATCAAGCATAGTACTACGTCATCATCTTCGTCCTTATCCTCTCGTAGGGTCGGCGTAACGGGGATTTGTCCTCTACTTAACTCTATGACACGACCTCTCAGTCATCACTCCCTTCTTGATCATGTCACCTTTTACGCAATCCATCCATCTCTTTCTAGGTCTTACCGTTTTCCCTCGGCGATAGTCTGCAGACGGTATGCCTCGGCCTCAGCGGGCAGTCGCACTGTCGACACCAGCTCCTCTTCACGGCGGAGGATCTCTTGTTGCTCCACCTGAGTTTACAATCGATATTATCTAGATGGTGTTGCATTTAATTTTTTAACTTGGTTTTAAACTAGACTATGGTGAATATGGATAAAAGTAACTTCTATAAATTGGTATGATAATATGCATTAGTAATTATAATAATGTTTGAATAAATACCTCAATTTGCTTTCGTCTTTCAACAACTTCGATCTGGATTTCTTCGTTACGGATTCTCTGCTTGATCTTAGCAGCTTGTAGTTCATACGCTAGAGCAGATTCTGCTTTCTAAAAATCAAAACAAATGAAACATAAAATAACTATGCTAAAGTTGAGTGTTGTATGTAGAGTATCCAGGGTTTCAATTGGCATGTCTGGTGGAAAAGTACCTTTGTTGTCAACGTGCCAAATCAAATATCAAGTACTAAAGCGTATTAGACTCACAGCAGTGTTAATTTCCTGGTCAAACTGCGCCTTCTGCAACTTGAACAACCTGTTGTTGTCCTCTATCTTGGTATCGGTGGAATATTTCACGTCCATCGCGCTCTTCTCGCATTCCGCCTCCTACAAACAAAACAGACTAATTTTTATTTTACTTAATATTATAAATGCGAAAGTTCAGATGGGTGGATGTTTGTTAGAGTTTGTAGCCTAAACTGCTGGACGGATCTCGATAAAATTTGACATAGATGTAGAGGATAGTCTGAAAGAACACAGGCTACTTGCATTTGTTTTTTTTTAATTCGGCGCGGATGGAGTCGTGGCTGAAGATTACTAGTACAAATGCTAAAGTTAATATAGATGATGGATGTTACAACGTATGTTAAGAACGGTTAATGCTGAAATTAGATCTAGAACATGGTTTGATAGAGAACACATAGATTACGAAGTTTTTTAATACGCATAGACGGAGTCGTAGGCAGCTAGTCGTTTCATAAATGAGATTATTTTAATTCCTCTTCTAAACGAACAAATATTAAAACATCAGTAGAAAAATTACGGTTAAATCAGACAAGCAGACAATCAAACAGAACATAAGGCTTGATTTATTTTTGTACAAGTGAGTCGGCAGTGTAAACCTAATCTAACGATCAACTAGACATAAAACGATAAAAATTTAATATAATAATAACTATTTTAACGACCCTTGTTCCAGGTTTAGTACCCTGAGGGTAAGAAGGCAAGTTTATTACCGCGGGTGTTGACGGCCAACTAAATAGCAGTAAATATTAAATTATATATACAACATAAAATCTATGTGGTAGTTAATTAAACGTTAGGTTAGAAATACAATATAACTCTACTAATATTATAAAGAAGAAATCTTTGTATTTGATTGTAATGAATAGGCCAATAAACTACTGGGCCGATTGTAAAAATTCTTTCAACGTTAGAAAGGTTATATATCTGCGAGTGCTATAATAGGTATATTTACTTATTAAAATACAAAAAAATACTTTAAAACTTATATCTTCTAATATACAACATTAACGGCGCTTTAAAAGGCCACGATTACACTCGAAATTCCTTTATTTTTTCATTCAGTTTGCATGCAGAGTTTAAAAAGCGAATTGTTTAATTCGTTTCAATATTCGGCCGTTAATTGTCTACATTTTTATTTCGAGCAATATCTTGTTCAATTAAAGAAGTAGATTGAATTTACAACTCGATGCTCGACCTTAATTGTCTCTAACTTTTAATAGGTCATACACAATTGTGATATCTTAAAATTTACAAATACTTAACAATTCAAGAAAATAATAAAAAAAAGTTTATTAAAATACTAACTACAACTAAAACAACAGAATAAATACTTCAGTGCGAACTCTGAACAACACTAGATAGAATGGGAGATAGAAATGGAATATATACGTTCGACAAAAGCCGACAGAAGTTCCACTGACACACGTTATTGATTTATCAGTACACGCAAACGTGAAAGGTTCATAACATAAATGCTTTTGTAAAAATATTCTTGACTAGCTTTCACTCGTAACTCTCTCGTGTAATTAAGAAACAAAAGTAAGTAGCCTATGTGTTCTTCCAGACGATCCTCTACATCAAAGCCAAATATCATCGAGATCCGTTCAGCAGTTTAGGTTACAAACTCTAACAAACATCCATCTAAACTTTCGCATTTATAATCTTACTTACTAATATTATAAATGCGAAAGTTTTGATGGATGGATGTTTGTTAGCGTTTGTAAACCTAAACGGCTGAACGGATCTCCATGAGATTTGGGCACAGGTTTAGAGCATAGTCTGGAAGATCACATAGGCTACTTTTTTATCCCGGGAATAGTTTACTCGATCATTCTGCAACGGTTCAACATATCTTATTGAAATTTGGCACAGATATAAAAAAAAGTCTGGAGTACACATGGGATAAGGTTTATCCCTGAGAAATGTCCGGTTCCCGAGGGATACGTAGCTTTTTGTTATTTATATAGTGCGTATGTTTTCTAATACCTCGCGGACGAAGTCGCGGGCAACAGCTCGTATTAGTATGAAGTAATAAGTTAGATTATCGTCTACTTTAGTAAGTGTATAGTTTAAAGTCATATTAAGTTAGTACGAGCTGTAGATATTGAATTACAGTTTGGTTTGTGTTGACCTGTCTATTGAAACGTCGTTGAATGTTTGGCGAGCGTACATTCTGGTATTCTGTCCATTATTCTCACTCCGCGTACTTAATTTGACATTTGATATATTATCGTAGAAGTCGATAGCTTTGACAACAGTATTGTGGTCTCTTTTATCTCAAAGAGAATGTAAGGGATGAAAATATGCATATAATTGAATGCATGCATAACACCGACAGAAAGAGCGTAGATGATTCAGGGATTTAACCATTTGACTTGTAATGTACAGGTCTTAGGTTCGAATCCCGCTGTACCAATGTATTTTTCGAATTTCATATGTAGATCGTTCACACACGTTCTTACTCAACGGAATACATCGTGATGCCTGCACATATCGGCGAAGAAATTCAAAGATATGTATGAAGTCAATCAACCCGCACTTTACCAGCGTGGTTGACTATGCCCTAGTCACCCTAATTTAGTGTAGACTCCGAGCCCCTTGCTGGGGACGTATAGTGAGCTGGTGTATACATACCCTGATACCCGCGTCCCTATTGGCCTGTGCGACTCCAATGTTGGCGTCGCGCTTCACCGCCGCCGTCTGCGCCTTACCAAGGCTGGCGAGGTACTGCACGTCATCGTACACGTCCTTGATCGTGAAGGACAGGATCTCGATGCCCATCCGTCCGACGTCGGGTGCTGCCACCTCGCGGACCAGACCCGCGAACTGGTCCCGGTCTCGGTACACCTCTTCTACTGTAAGAGTTCCTGTTAAACGAATAGTACCAATTAGTATCAGGAATCTAGGAAAATTCAAATATTTTACATCATTTACTGTTATATTCAGAATTGTCTGATGATTTCTCAAAGAGGTCCCTTAGTGTACATTTAAAAAATAAAAAAAACACTTTATTAATTAAACCAGTTGCACAATATTAATTAAAACAAACATAATATATTCTCGTATGTTATATATTAGTTATATCAGACGGTATGTAATTTTATAAGTTAATCTACACCTGCTACAAACAGTTTCCTTGTTGAGGCATTCAATCTTATTGTGTGGGTGCGATTGGCTGGAATCTTTATAATATCTGAGGTATTCTACATAACTTTATACGGCATTCCAATTTATTATACAAATATGAGAAAAATACAATTATAGTTACAGGGAGATATTACGTGAAAGTGTTAAGAATGAATGTGGATGGCTACAAAGGTAGAAGAAGACCAAAGATGGATTGTGTGAAAGAGGAAATGCTTAAGAAAGGAGTGGTTTCAGATATAGCTGATAGAGATGTATGGAAGCAGCATATATTGTACCGACCCTCCATAAGGGATAAGGGCAAGTTGATGATAAGGGAGATATTACTACCTTAACGTTAAACAACCTTACATCGCGGTATAAAGTTAAACTTAGGAATAAACAGAGTATAAGCAAATATTAGTACAAATTTTACTACGTTTTTAAGGTTGAAATACAAAAATTGTACTATTATGCATGTCTACTAGGATCCGGTCTACATTTCATTTGTGTTAACAGATCTCTTATGTATCAAATTGTTTGTGTAATTTCTAAGTTAACTTACTTCTTAACATTCAAACAAGTGAGTCCAATAGTAAGAGCTAAAGGCACCAAAGCTATCCTTAGAAATTCCATCGTTACACTCTATCATTTAACACTAAAAACACTATAATCAAAACTTTAATTTTTCACAACTATTAATATTAAATGGAAGACTGTATTAACTATAAGTTTAAAAATTTAAAATTAATAGTCTTTTCAAAAATACAGAATAAAAATATTTATATTAACGATTTGCAAAATCGAGAAGGTTTTAATTCAATGCAATCAACACTGGCCTTTAAACAATAAACTATTTATTAAAAAAAATATTTATCACGTCAGTCTCACGTCACGATTGCAACAACTATGTACAACACGGAATAGAATCTAATAATCGATATCATACGACCTTATTACAATTCCGTTAAAGATTATAATCGTATATCAATTTCTTATCATTAGCAATGATATAAATATGATAGAGATAAGTGCGGAATTATCAGTGTTATCGCAGACATTCGCATATATATAACTTTATAGATATATTCCTGGTATTAATTTGAACATATATTTACATTTAATTGACTGTTTTTTTGTTATCCGGGACTCTACGGGAGAGACCCGTCTCCCGCGACGGCCGCGGCCGGACTGGGTCTTCCGGAGTCGTACTCCCAGCACTTACATAACCTATATCGGAGTTTAAAGGGATGATCTAGATGCTTTTTAGTTTTAGATAAATCTTTAACTCTGTTCTGAACTTTTATTATAATGAAAAGTCATTTAATATCTCCAATACACTGAACTACGGAAGAGAATACATTTTTGGACTAACGAAAGCTTTTATTAGCGACGCATATAGGCTTTGCATATCTAGCTAACAGAAGGGGTAAGTTCCTGATTTAAAAATATGCAAAATATCCGAATTTGTAAAATCTGAAATCTATCTGAAAAATCACTTCTCTTCCTGCTGTTTGTCTGTCCCTATGTTGACTTAAATCTTTAAAACTACGCAATGTCTTTTGATAGTTTGTTTAAAAAATAGACTGATTCAAAAGGAAGGTTTATAAGTAAAACTAGCTTTCGCCCGCGACTTCGTCCGCGTGGAATTGAGAAAAACAAAAGTGAATAGACTATGTGATCTTCCAGGCTATCCTCTAAATCGATGCCAAAATTCATAGAAATCCGTCCAGCCGTTTAGGCTACAAACACTAACAAACATCCATCCATCTAAACTTTCGCATTTATAATATTAGTATGATATAATAATGAAATATAGATAAATACATAATATTCCAGCTATGGATTACATCAATGGTTTGAAAGTTCCTAGAGTTACGGCTGTCTTATTGCCTAGTATTAAAGAATTTTGTTGCTGTTGAAAGTCATTGTTCCGGTAAGGGCAATCTGGATTATGAGGCCAACCCCTACATTGCTATCGTGACCCCTTTACAAAGCCACTAAATATCTACACTTTTATAACACCAATTAAAAGAACTTTTAATGTTATAGCAATTAGTAGGAGTTGTACTAATTTATATTCTAACACTTCTATAAGCTTATATGGAGGTGAGTACACTACTTGTTTTTTAGTTGTGCAACTAAACAGTTGAATTGGCTGAGAAACAATCGATAATCGGACAACAGTTGTGTGCTAGTTTAGTCAAAGGTGTGCGCCCGCTTTAGCACTTATCAGTAACAGCCTAGATTTTCGATTCACGTGTGTACATGGCCTTCTTTTTTAGACAGCTGAATTATATTTGCTATGGTAATATTTGGACGTTCAAAGATCGTTATCACAACGTACAAACTAATCTCTGTGACAAATAATCGCATTATGACAACTGTTACTAACCAAATTTCACCCGAAATTTCGTTCGAAAGTAATCTACCTTACTTCCTAATTTCATCGAGAAACGTTCAACCCTTCTGGAGCCACCTTGCTAAACTACAATGCTGTATGCATAGAGGCACCAAGAAGCGCTTAAGAAGCCCATTTATGTCCTGTGCGGAAATAAAGAATGTAAGGCTCCCTGGAATAACGACCCACCATCCCCACTCGTAATCGTTACATCCATTCAAACATTGAAACATCCATAAATCCAAATAAACATTGCCATTTCTAATATTAGTAAGATAACATCGCGGCTTGAATTATATTCAAACTAAATTGGATAGCTCTATCTAATTGGAACACACATTTGGTTCATATTATAATTAGATATATTCATAGTAATGTGTAATATCGATAATTGTATGGTACATTTATGATACCATCGGGTGAGGTATTTTAAAGTATAAATAGAGCGTAATGCATTGCTCTTCTAGTCTATTAAGGTAGCGCATTTGGTAATGATCGGAGCGGATGCGAGTAACCTTTCTCACAGTGAGATAGGCTCCGACGGGCTCAATGTCGGTGTCGTCACATATAACTACATGTATATGAGTGTAGCCATTTTTTAATTTACAATTGTAGTTAATGATTAAATTAGGACTAAACAACGTACGGTTATCGGAGTTAAACAACTAGGATAAACCATTTTTTTTGTCTGTGTATTTGTGTATCTGTCTGATGTTCCATTTTCAAAATGTAATTTTGACAGGAATTCTTCTAGAAGCTAATTAGTGTGGGGTTTAATTTAGGCCGTTAACTCCGCGCTGATAAAGTCGCAGGCAACTTCTAGTTTAAAAAATATGATTTTTAATACGCTATCTCTTGTTATTGTAGTCACAACCTGCTAGCAGTAATGGAGGTCACACCTCCGAGTCAAGTTCACGGATCGCTGATAATGAGGCTGTTCGTGCGTAAATTGCTACACGTGTTTTTAAAAATTATCTAACATTTAGATGCAACCGTTTTTCTATATTTCAACCGTTAAGTAAACATAGCGTAAGTTTCCATTGCCGAAACACATAAAACATATTGGCAATTCTATTTTACTTTTCGCAGTAAAAGAGTTTCATAAATGTCACTCATTGGAAACTTACATATGTAATGATGATGTTCAAAAATCGACTTTAATTTTTTTAAGATAAAAATGTTAAAAATACCACGTTTATGAACTAGTTTTGATAATATCTTTAAGTTAAACCTGTTTTGTTATTTATAAAACTGTCAGTAATATTTCCATTGACGTATTATGACGCAGCGGTTTTTTTGCTTAGACAAAGACAATAAAATGATTTCCGCCCAGTTCACTGTTACTAACCTATTCTGTAGCATTTGTTGTTTTCTAACAAACAAAAAATAATAAATCGCTAATTTGATTTAAATCTAACCTTAAAAAAATATGCTCCAAATATTACTAGAATGTATAATTAGGGTAGTTAAAGTATTCCCTTAACGTTTTAACTTTACTTTAAGAAAGCAAAAACAGTAATTCACCAGAACTAGTAGAAAAAACTATAGAAGAAACAATAAATAGCCTCTAAAACTCTGTCTCGATTGAGATAAGGTATGTAAATATACCTTTTTTTTCATACAAAAATTACGGAAAATTCTGGATTTGAGAGTTGAATAACAATCACATTCAAGGTCACAGTGATTTCCTACGACATTTACAAAAACTGGGTTTAAGAGGGGGACAAAACATATTATAGTGCGACAAACTTCTCTGGCCCGGTATGTGATAATCGCGGTAACTATTAAGAAATACGTAAAACGTAAAATACACAGAAGATTTTACAACCGTAACTCTTTACGAATCTATTTACAATGGCATGAGGGCGCTAATGAGTTGTAACTAAGTGTCCCTTAACCCAACTGGGTCAGATAAGTTTATATGTCTATATTTATTATTATTTTAAAATTTCTCTTACCTTTTAACCACCGCATAAGTGCAACCGACTGTCAATCCAATATTAAAAGCTCCCATCCATAGCAACGACATATTTACAAAAAAAAAATGATTTCACACTTCACAATGCACTTACTCTCATTACCACTATAAAAAAATCGATTAAATTCAAACTATAATCGATTTGAAATCGATACTCGAATCAAAAAGCCCAGGATACCACAATTCTCGATTTTATCTACTTGCAATTAAAATTAGTAAATTCTATACCCAAGCTATGCTTTGATAGTACGGTCACTGAGTTGCAAACACCTATTATTACAATTAAAACTTATCGATGTTGAACGATTAATCGATATTAGTGTAATCGATACGTGCGTTATTCACTAAAGTCGAGAGTAGAGTGG